AGAGATGGAGAGACAGAGAGATGGAGAGACAGAGAGAGACGGAGAAAGACAGAGATGGAGAGACAGAGAGATGGAGAGAGAGACAGACACGGGAGGGAGGTGAAGGGGGTGGGAAGGACGAAGCTCCGTGGGCTCAGCTCCTGCGGCCCCGCCCTGGATGTGTGCGGCCAGGAACACCCAAGCCCTCCTCCACACTCGGGTCAGAGCCTGCGGCCTGGGGAGGGCTTGCGGCTGGGAGGTGGGGTTTTGTCCAGTTTGTGTGATGGGAGTCCTCAGCGCGGCCCCTCCACCCAGTCTTCTGGGTGACGGGACTCGGAAGGTCCGCCACCCCTGGTGGCCTCATCTGGGGCTGGGGGGCGGGCCCTGGGCCCCACTGCGGCCCCCGCACCCAGGAGGCTCAACGCCCCGCTCAGCGCCACTGAGCGCCCCGGGGCCTGGCAGGAAGGCTCTGCTCGCCGCCACCTCCCATCCGTCGCCCGTTACCCAGCAACAAGGATGCAGGATCTCGACGGGCCCTCGGGCCACACAGATGTCCAGGAGCTGGAGTCCGGCTCTAATGTCATTTGGGAGCCTGTGCCAGGAACCTATGTCCCGCCCGGGCTCATGTGACCAGAGCAACTAATACCATCCACCATCACATTAGCCGGAGCCCGTCAGGGGCAGGTGGGGGTGGGGACCCCTACTTTCCAGGCTGCCCTGCTGGGAGCCACATGTGCTGCCCCCATGTGTCACCCTGTGTGTGACGTGGTGGGTGTGGGGATGGCAGGGGGTCAGGGCTCGGTGGGTGGTTTGGGCTCAGGGAGTTCCCGAGACCATGAGGGAGACTTTGAGGGCCGTGGGGGCCCCCCAGAGCTCTCAGGGTGCAAACCCCCAGGCCCAGGGCTCCTGAGACCCTCTCCCTGGTGGCCCTCAGTGAGCAGCCATGCCTCTGCATGAGTGTCCCGTGGAGGGGACACCGTGTCCGCACCAGCCAGCCTCACCTCAAATGCCTTCACGGCCCGGGACAGAGACGCGGCCTTGGCGCCCCGTAGGGTGAAGAGCAGATTCAGCACGGCCTTCCCGTCCTTGTCCTTGAACACTGCGGCCTCTAGGGGGTCCCCGGGCTCCGAGGAGGCGGCCGACAAGGCCTCGGCCTTCTCCCGCTCCTTGCGAGCGTCCTCGATGAGGCTCTGTCGCCGCCCGACGAAGCGTGGGGACTGCGGTGCAGGACACGCCCAGCTCCCCCCTGCACTCGGCCGCCCCCAGACCCCGTTCCAAGCCCCCCCCCCGCCCCCGTGTCCGTGAGCCCCTGCTGTGCCCACGGGAGGGACTGGCTGGCCGGGCCTCGCCTGCTGGGGCGGAACTAAGAGCCTGTCTCCACCCAGTGGGGCTTGGGGGGTGGCCGGGAAGATGTGGAGCCACGGGCTAGGGCCCGGTGTGGTGGGAGGATGGGCCCACGGCACCCACATGCTGCCTTGCTTCTGTCCCCGGGTCCCAACCGGACGAGGTGACAGGAGGGGTGACTCGGGACCCTGAGGTGGACGTCGGCCAGAGCACTGGGGAGGGCAGGGAACACGGGGTCTGGCTCCTGGGAGGGAGCCTGCCACACTGAACGACGTCACCTCGGCACCCCAACCCCGGCCCTTCCCCACAGCACAGGGACATGGCCAAACTTGGTCCACAGCCTGTCCCCAAGACCGTGAGCCCCCAGGCCAGCGTGAAGGAGGAGCTGAACGTCTGAGGCTCGTCCCTTGGAGCTGAACTTCCAAGAAGGTTCTGGTGTCCTCGGGTCTTGGAACATGGTGGGGAGGGTGCAGGAGAAGCCCCTCGAGCCCCCGCTTGGCCTCGGGGGTGTGAGCAGAGCAGGGCTGCAGCCCCGGGTCAGGGAGCACCTGCAAGGCTGGGTGGGCCCCGGGAGCTGGGTGTGGAGGACGTCTCACTGAGAACCCAGGGCGGGGGGGGGGGGCAGTTCTCTGAGCAGGTGCCTGCAAATCACATTTCCGGATCCCAAACCATGTTTTCATTCAAGGTCTAAAAACAGAGCCCATTTGAAATGTTTGGGAGCTGATTATTCTGGGGCATCCTTGAGGACATGCAAGACCCCTCCTCTGGCCTGAGTGGTCTCCAGTTATCCAGCCTCATGGAGGTGAGGATGCCCGGCATAGACCTCCTGCCCTCGGGGGCCCCCAGGTGCTGGGTGATGCCTTGGGGACTGTCCTGGTGGTCAGAGGGGCCCAGGGTGGCTAGGCAGGGGAGGTGGGATTCAAGACAGGAGGTCATACGTGGGTACGAATGCGTGGCCGGTGGACAGGTGGATGACGATGGAAATCGCCCTGGAGCCCCGATCACCCTTGGGCTCATGGGAGACTGGGGTCTGCCCCTCCGTGTGGCCAGCACCTCCCCCCAGGAGTCACCGCCAGGGCCCAGGGCACTGTCACACACACACACACACACCGGGCCGGGGAGGAACCACCCACAGAGCTTCAAACACCCCCCAGTGGGGTGGTTGGGGGTCACCTACCAGCCTGGGCAGAGCAGATGCTCAGGGCCAGGACCCCACACCGTGCCCAGGCCCGAGGCGTCATATAGACCCCGAGTCCGGGTACCCTGCCAGCCTTCAGGGGACACCCCTGCACTTCCAGCCCATGCTGGCCACCAGGCACCGGCAGCCCCCTTACCATGATGGCTTCGGCCTGCTTGGCATCCAGCTCGGAGACCGCCCTGCGGAAGCCCTTGGCCTGGGGCGAGGCGGAGCTGGGAGTGGGCATGGCGCTGGTGTCCGTCCGGGGCTCGCCTCCACGGCCCTCTGCCGGGCGGCCTCTTATAGGCTGAGCTGACGTCTCCCACCTCCCACCTCCCCGCATCCTCTCCTGCCGCCTGCCGCCTGAGGGAGGCGGTGGGCGGGAGCGAAGACGCACAGGAGAAAGGGCTCTGTCCCATTAAATCTAATTGCGTCCCCGCTGCAGGCGCCCAGCAGGGGTACGGCCCTCGCTCTGAATCACCTCAGCTCCAGAGGACGGGCTCTGTGGGGCTGGGGACAGCTGGCATCCCCTTAGCTCCACACGCCAGGTGGGGGTGACAGTGGGTACACAGGGAGGTACTATTCCGGGCGCCCCGAGAGTGCACGTGGCAGGTGGCCTGGAAACCCCCCGGGGGAGAAATCCAGACTCCAACCTGGGATGTCAGGAGAACATTTGCTTTTCCAGAAGATTCTTCATCAAATTTCCCAGCAGGATCCCACGGCATGTTTCCATTAGATGCCACCAGCAGGAGCGTTAGCTGTCCCTTGTCCCATTTCCCTGGGCCTGATCCCCAGGCACAGCCTGTGAAACCTGGAATGTTCCAGAAAGGCCCATCCCTCCAGTGTGAGGAACTTGGGAAGCGGAGGGAGGGGTGTCTGGCTGGGCAACCCCTCTCCTCCAGGACCTTCCCCCAAACCGGTCTGACCATGACACTCTTACTTCCCCACCCTCTATGGCTCCCCATCGCCCTCCAGAAGCAGCCTGAGAGCTCAGTCGGTACAGAGGGAAGTGCCTCCTCCCACCTCCCCCTGCTGATCTTCTCACCCTTGGCTGCTCCCACTTCCTGCTCCAAGAGGGCCTGGGGGTCCGTGATACCCAGTTTGCAATATTCACCCCCTTCTTCTCCTGGTGAGCTCCTATGCATTCCACGAAACCCAGCTCAGCCACCATTCATTCTGTGACGTCTGTGCCTTCTTGTCCTTGATATTAACCTCCCTCCTCTGCCAACACCCTGAGGCCAGGACCCCCAGCTGCTTGGCCCACTGCATCTCCCGGTGCCTGGTGTGGGCCTTGGCCTGACATCTCCTAGACTCTGGGCTCAAGACCATGTCTCAGTGGCCTCTGCCACTAAGGCCTGGCCCGGAGGAGGTCTTCCATAGGGATGCCGGTATGCCCTGAAGACCCTGGAAGAATTTGCTCCGAGATCCCCAGGGTGCGGGCCGGGGCCGGCCTCTACCCCAGGGCACCAGGGTCCCCAGCCAGCATCCAGGCCTCCTGGAACTCTGGGCAGGCTCTCCTCTGCCCGTCCAGGGTGGGCTACAAGGGATCACTTAGGGATGCGGATCCAGGCCTGCCGGTTTGCCCAGGGGGGCGCCGGGCAGGGGGTTAAGCACTGCGCCGGAGGAGCGGCTGAGTGTGGATTTAACCTTTCAGCAAATGTCTTCTGCTGACACAAATATTGTTTTTTAATTCCTTTGCCTACCTGAGCTGGCATGGGCCTGCACGGAGGCTCCGTGGGGGCTAAGCTTCCTTCCCCGGGGCCAGGTGGCAGCGGGCAGGAGGGCGGAAGCTGCGGACTCCCGAGCTGCGTGCTGCCTCCTCTGGCCTCCGGCTTCCCCTGACCAGGTGTCTGTCTGTCAGTGCATAGGCGGTCCATCCTGGGAAGGCTTTCCTACACATCCCTGCCCTGCAAGGCTGGCTGACCAACCTGGGTGCAGTCCGGGCCGTTCCTCCTCACCCCCGGGTCCACCCCGGCCAGCATCTTCTTTCCTGGCTAGACAACCTCGTGTCCTCTCTCTGGCCCGCGGCTCGCCCTGCACCCAGGGTCTCCGGGGCTCGAGGCCAGACGGTGATCTGTAGGGCCTGCCTGCAGACAGCTGAGGCGTCCGTAGACCTGTCCTGCAGAGGGGAGACTGAGGCCCCAGGCAGGTGATTTCTCTGGGTGCTGCAGCCTCCCGAGCCCGGGATTCCCAGCTTGCAAGACATTCCTTTCAAGGATCCAGGGCCTCAGGCCACAAGAGGCAGACTGAGACCAGTGGCCCCCGCCCCAGGGAGAGAGGGTAGGGCTTCAAGCCACTGCAGAGGAGGTGGGCACCAGGAGAGAACATGGGGTCTCTGCTACCCAGATAGCCCTGGGGCTATAAGCCAGTCTTGGGGGGGCAGGGTGAGGAGCAGAGCGTCCGGGACCCAGTGCAGTGGGGGTGCGCTCTGGGGCCCAATCGGGAGGAGGGCCAGCCCCCAGTGCAGCCCCCCGCCCCTCCCATCACCCTGAATAATCCCAGCAGTCAGGCGGGGCACTCAGCACCAGTGGCCTCTTTGTGCCCCGGCCTCCAGAGGACGTAATGGCCCATAATGACAGTGTGCAGCTCCCTGGCATCGACCAGGTGCCTGGTGTGGGGCAGGGGTGGGGCAGGCGGCCTCCAGCCTCAGGTTCGGGGCCTGTCTCGAAGGCAGGGCTGCTCCCCCCGGGCCCCCTGCCTTGCCCACTGCGGGACCCCCGCCCTTGCTCTCCTCCCCAAACCACAGGAGGGCCCAGGCTGAGCTGCCGAGGGAACCCGAGGGGGGCACCTCCCCGGGGTCCTCATCCCATGGCTCTGCAGGGCCCCACCGTCGAAAACCACCTGTGAAGAGTCAGGTTTGTGCTCCCCGGCAATCGGGGGTCAGAGGTTGTTCCATGGTGTGAGCAGGATGAAGGTCTTTGTCAGTGGGCACCGTCTGTGTCCTGGGAGAGGCACACATCTGTGGGACACACAGCCCCGGGGCCCCAGGCAGCAGGTCTCCAGAGCAGCCCCTCCAGAGCCTGCAGCCTGGGACCAGGGTCCCTGCTCACAGGGAGACGGGCCTGCACGGGCACACACCACATCCCTCGGAGGATTTGGGGGCACTCCGGATGTCATGCTGCCCTGGGCCACCCCTGGGTCCCCATGGTCCTTGGGGGCTGCAGGGGACAGGGAGGCCTGTGTCCTACCCCTCCTGCCCGGGGCCGCCCACCTCCAGCCTCAGCGCAGCCCCGGGGCTCCGGGGCCTTTCTCTGCGTTTGGGGACAGGCAGGGGAGCAGTCGCCCACCCTCCCCCACACTGGAAGAAGACCCAAGATTCCTGCCACACCGGCCCTGTCAGAGCTGAAATGTCAAAGCAATTAGCTCTAACGAGGCCATCGGATGGAACAGAGCAGCTGGGCAAGCCGGCGGGGGCAGGTCGGACCCAGAACCACCGCCCCACCAGTCGATCCGATGCACTCAGGATAATTGGGCATTTGGGAGTCAGACCTGCAGGAAGAGACAGGGGAGGAGCGGGCCATGTCTCCCCTGCCCCCCACCCCATCCCCAGGCCCCCCTGCAGCAGTGACCCGCTTGGCTCCCTTCCCCAGACCAAGTCCTGCCTGGCCCCCAGGCCCAGTGGCCGCGCCTCCTCCTCCAGGCAGACCTCCCTCCTGCCTCTTGTCTGAGCTCCCTTCAGACCTCCCTGTCAGCTCCGTTGCCAGGCTGACCCCTCATTGGGGCGGGGGGATGGGCTGGCAGAAGGTTGGGCTCTGGGCTCAGTGCTGGCAATCCACCTTTGGGAGGGTGGGAAAGGGGATCCTGACTCTGGCCCCTGTCCCGTCCCCATGGGGAGGAGGGGCACCAGGTCCCACTGACACCCGGGATCAGTGCTCTCGGGCCTCTGGAAAAGCTGTCCACGCCTTCCCTAAGAGTGCCTGTCCTGGGGTCCTTCCAGCGGGGGCCTGGGGCGGGGCAGCTGGGCTGGGCATCCCTGTGCTGACATGGAAGGGACGGCAGGACCCGGGTGTGGTCAGACCCAGCCCCTGCACGAAGGAGGGAGGGCCTGCAGGATTTGCAGGGGCCAAGGGGACTGGGCTGGGGTGGCGAGGGGAACCAGATGCCCCGGAGCCAGGTGGCCCTGGCCAGCGAGAGGTCTCTGTAGTCCTCGGTGACTCCCAACCCCCGGAGCACCCCGACTCCTCACTGCTCAGGTGCCTTTGAGGGGCAGGATGCTGGCCTCACACCGGGCTCCGGCAGAAGGCTCCAGCCCCGTCACCTGCAGAGGCCGACATGGCTCTGTGAGCGCCCCTGGGCATGTGTGCAGCCAGGCTCGGGAGCCCATGCTCACAAGCTCCGCTGGTAGCTTTAGCAGTCTGTGCGTGAGTGTGCCCATGGGAGCGTCCGTGCACGTGGATGGGTGTTGAGTGGTGCTTGTGTGTGCGGGTGTGTGCATGCAGTGGGCAGCTGGGCCTCAGAAGGTCTGACCGGCCGCGGTGGGCTGACCCGTGGGGTGGCTCCTGGCTCCACGTCCCTCCAGACCCTCACTCCATGTCACGGCCGAGGCCTCAGCTTCCTGCCAGGTGCTCTGGGTTCCTTGGGATCCGTCCCCAGGCCCCCCACCCCGCCTGGTCCCTGCAGTGACTCCGTTCGCCCGCCGCCCCCTCCCACCGGCTCTCAGTCGGCTGACAACGGAGCCCGCTGAAAGACAAGAGCGACGTGCCGTTCTCATTAGTCACTCGGGGGCAGGCACTCACAGCTGTGTTTTCATAGCAGCACGTGGGCACAGTGACAGGCCCCGTGCCCGCCCCCCGCCAGCCCTGGGGTCCCAGTCACCTGCCCCTAGTCCTGCTGCTCCAGGCTCCCAGCGCTCTCGGCGACGAGGGACTGCCTCTTCCCTTGACCCTGCCCAACCTACAAGGGAGCCAGCTTCCGGCTATGGGCCCGCAAGGCCCCGGGCTGCATTAGCAGAGGCACGGGGGCCAAAACTCAGGAGGGGACAGAGTGCTCTGCCTGATGTGCCCAGAGCACACGAGCTGAACGTCTCAGCTGAACATCCGGGCAGCCAGGGTGGGTTCCTGGAGGCCCCCCCGCCCCGGGCTCTGCTTGGCCCGGCTGGTTCCAGGTGCCCAGCGCCTCCTCAGCCCTCCTCTGGCCGGCCCGCTGGAAGCGCCTAGGGGGCCCATGCCACTGCATCCCCGGGCCACAGGCACCTCTGCCGTGCTTCCTGCACCCCTCCACTGGCAGCAGGCTGGAGGTCGGGGGCTG